GGGCGGCGGCGCGGCGCGCCGGGCGTCGGCGGCGGCGGCGCTGACGCTAGGCAGGAGCCTGATTGCAAAAGGAGGCAGCGGCCTCAAGAGCATCGGCCGCCGCGCGCCGCGGCAGCCCCAGGCCGCGGCGGCCCCAACAGAGGCGCCGCTGACAGCGGCCGCGGCGGCGCCCGCTGCGGCGGAGGCTCCAGCAGCGGCCGCCGCTGCGGGCGCCGCGCCACCGGGCGGCGGCGTGGCGCACCGGGCGCCGGCGGCGGTCGCGCTGACTTTTGGCAAGAACCTGATTGCAAAAGGGGGCAGCGGCCTCAGAAGCCTCGGCCGCCGCACGACTCCGCAGCCCCAGGGCTCTGCAGCCCCAGCGGGCGTGGAGTTGTCTATAGCGGCGGCGCCAGTAGCGGACGCTCCTGCGGTCACCGCGCAGCCAGACGGCGGCGCGGCGCGCCACGCGCCCAGCAGCGCCGGCCGCCTCGGCGCCGGGAGCGCCCGCCTGGCGCGCGCGGCGGTGGCGCTCGTGCCCGCATCCCTTCGCTCTTGGGAGGGGCGGCCCGGCGGCGTCCTCTTGGCGGGCGGGCGCGGTGTCAAAGCGGGCAAGGCGGCCGGCGGCCCGGGGCGGGACGCACTGAGCAGCAGCGCGTCCAGTGACGCGGCCCCAGAGGCGCCCGCCGCCGTGGTGGTGCTCGCGCCGCCGCGCAAGCCGGTGTATGCTGAGTGCGGCACGCAGACCGCGGTGACGGGCGTCACCCTCTCCCGGCTCAACCGCAGCGCGGTGCCGGCTTAGGCGCGTGCGCCGCCGCCCCTGGGCCCCCCTTCTCCTGCAGCCGCCAGGCGGCCCGCAGTCGCGGCGCCGCGCCAAGGCGGGGCGGCGGGCAGCCGCAGGTTTGCGGGCTGTGCCGAAACACGGATGAAAAGGCGGCTTTGAAAGGGGCCGGCCGCGCCCGGGCGGCCGCGGCGTTTTGCCCCTGCGACACAAGGGGGTGTCGAAAGTTTGATAGGCGACGGAGTGGCATTCCAGGAGACGGCCCCGGCGGCGACCACGCGCCGGGCCCGCACTGCGTTTTGTGTCGAGGATTGAGGGGGAGGGCCCCCCGTCTGCGCCCGTGCAGCCCTCTGCGCGGGTTTGTGCGGCTGCTGTGCCGGGCCCCGCGCCCTCTCCCTCTCACGCACGCCCCCCCCTTCGCGCGCCGCGGCCGGCTCCGCTGCGCCGTCGCAGTTGGGGGTGGCTGATGCTCACGGACACCCAAATCTGCTACTCTGGAGACTTTTTCCAACTTCCGGCTCTGCAGCACAGCCAATGCCGCGAGGACCCCTTTCGGGCGCTTGCACTGTCCAGCGGGGTGTGTGCGCCGCCAGCGGCGGACGCCGGCGGGCATCCGCCGGCACGCGCCTGCCTGCTGGGGCGCTGACAGGCCCGTTTTTGGGTACTGAGCACCTGATTTCGATGCTACCTGCTCAAACAGCCTGTACCCTGCCGCATTGACATACGCTGGCCCCTGCTCACTCACGCGCGCGCCGCGGGGGCCTCGCGCCGCCCGGGCAGCTGACGGCCACGACTGCGGGCGGGCCGCGGCCTGCGCGTGGCGGCTCTGTGCCGTTATTTTGCCGCACGACAACTGCCAAAGAGGCGCGTTCGCGCGAGCGCACGTATTTGGTTCCACACACACATGTGTGCCTCTGGGATGCAAAAATGCGTCAGCGCACCTACACACACATGCGCGCGCTTGCTCACATGTGTGTGTGCTTGTTTGGACCTGATAGGAAATGCTTGTTTGGATCTGGTAGGAAAAGAAGCGACATTTTCCCCTTCGCAACCCCGCCGCTATTTTTCGCCAACACCAGCAACCGCTGCCACCGCCGCTGAATGCCAGAACCTTCCCCTTTGAGCGCCCCAATCTCACTCACCGGCATTCTTCACGGGCGCCATAGCACATGTACTGCGGCAGTACACACACCTCAGCCGCTGGGTGCGCTCGCTGGGGCGTTTGAACCTGTGTGTGCGGCCGCACAACTTGCTCGACGGCGGCCTGCGCCCCTCCTTGACGGGCCCGGGTATCCCCTTCCCACCCTCGACCCAAGGGGCTGCGTTCCCCAGCGGCTCCCGCCGAACCCTTTCGTTCGGCGCCGCGTCATGTCACGATGCTGGCGGCGCCGCCGCTCGGATGGTATTGGATTCCACAGACAGGCAGAGTGTGGGGCAGCTGGCCAGGAGCCGCCCCGCGAACGCAGCACTACTTGAACCAACCCAACGCCAGCGCCAGCGCCCGGCGGCACACGCCCGTCGCGCCGCGCCGCGCCGCGTCGCGCAGTGCGGCGCCGTCCGGGCGCTGCTCGCACCCCCCCTGCTTCGCCTCATTGTATGGCGCCTTGTGCCTCCCTGCCACCCCCCGCAACCGCGAGAGCTGCCGGCCTCTTGGCGGCGACCACCACCCCCTCCCCCTCCCCTCGTGATTGTGCCACACCCTGTCGTCGTTCACGCGCCCGTTCCCGACGCCCGGCCCGATGTGTGATCAGACCCTCCAAGTCATCTGTAACCCGCATCTGTCACTGGCATGGCCCTGGGGCTGCGTTGTGGCTTGAGGCGTGACGGGGGCAGCTCTGGGGTTCTGCGGGGATAGTAAGAACGGGCGGCTTCCAAAACCTGCCGTTGTGCGTCTGGCGGAGCCGCCGAGTTGTGCGCCGGCGGCCACGCCCCTCGGTCCTCTGCCCCCGCCCTGCCAGGTTCTGTCCGCAGATGTGAATTGTGGAAGCGAGGCGCCCCCACGCTGCGCCACGCCTGGCCGGCTCCAGGGGTGCGCCCCGGGCCGTGCCCTCCCTGCGTTTGAGCGGCGTCTCAGGGCCTGCAACCGCTGGCTGGGCTAGGCGCGCCCCCCCTCCCTCAGCCGCCCTAGTGTGGGGTTCTGCCCCGCCGGCCCCTGCCAGGGGGGCGGTCCCAGCAGGCATTGTCGGGGCTCCATTTTCAGGTTTACAGTCACAGGATTTCATCACGAAAAACGGCAGGCACAAGTAATTGCTCACACCACTCCTGCCGCTGGGGCACCCACGCGGAGGCGGGCGCCAACCTGCGCGCGGGACGGGCCCCGCGATTCGCGAGCGGGGGCATGAGAGGCGGCGCCGCCGTCCGGCCAACCAACCAACCTCACACCAGCGGCCGCCGTCGCTTGCACGCGCCAAGCCTGTACGCCCCCCCTCTTAGAGGAAAATCATGCTACCACTTCCTACGATTCCTCGAGGCCGGATCTCAGGTATTTGATCTGAGATCTCAGATCACAGCTCGACCTTCACGCCGCTGTCCTCCGCCGCCGCCTCCTCCTCCTCCTCGTCCTCCTCCTCCTCGTCCTTCCCGCCCTTCTTCCCCTCGTCCTTGCCGCCGCCGCTGCTGCCCCCCAGATCGCTCTCGTCCTCCGGCTCAACCTCCAGTGCCGCCACCCCCAGCTCCCCCTGGAGTACCTTGTACATGCGGGACACAAAGTCCTGGGGAAGAGGGTAGGGTGTGTGTGCGTGTGTGCGTGTGAGTGTGGCCGGGGTGGGAGTGGGCTCGGGAGCCCCTGGCGGCTGATGGGCGCGGCTGATGCACCAACACACGCGCATACAACAAGACACGGACTCACAGCCACAACCACGCGTGCGCCAACCCCCCCCCATCCGCCAACCACTCACACACGGACGCATCCAAAAGGCGCGCCGCCACGCACGCGTGCCCAGTCAACATGACGTCATCAAGGCATCACCACCTCCGACCCCGCCCTCCCCCCACCTTGGGGTCCTCCAGGCTGTAGCCGCTCTCCAGCAGCGCCGTCTCAAACAGCAGCCCCGCGCTCTGGGCCGCCGCCGTGTCGTCCTTGTCAGCCGCCACCTTGTCCTGGGGTGTTGGGGGGGGGGGGGAGGGTTGGGAGGTGAGAGAGATGGTATGATGCACGTGTGTGTCATGTTGCATGCATGGTTTGTGACAATGACGATGACGCAAAGAAGACAATAATGTGTTCGTGTGTGTGTGTGTGTGTGTGTGTGTGTGTGTGTGTGTGTGTGCAGGGGTGATAGAGGGTGTGGGTGGGCATGCGGTGCATGTGCACAAGTGCGTTCCAGTGGTTGTGTCGCTGCGCGTGCTCGCGTTCGTCTGACATCACAGTGACATCGTCCGGGCGCGGGCTGACGTACACGTGAGACCAATACACAGCTGCCGGGCCACCAACAGCGGCCGCCCCCTGGGCCCTCACGACCTGCTGCCCTCAAGACCGCCGCAGGCGCTCCTGCCCCACGGGCGCGTGCGCGGCTGCGGCGCACGCCGGGCGCGCGGGCATACGAGGGGGTTGGGTGTGGGAGGGGTGCGGGGTGCGGCCCAACGCGCACCAGCAGTGCCTTGATGAGGGGGTGGCGGGGGTTGATCTCCAGGGAGCGCTGGTTGCGGATGTAGGAGGGCACGCTGTCCTTGTCCCCCAGGGCCTGGGGGGGGTGACGGGTGGGGTGAGGGCATGAATGGGTGTGTTGTGTGTGTATGGGTGTATGCGGTCGTGAGAGTGTGTGTGTGTGGGG